CCTTACACTGCCATACCAAAGGAGAGGGGGGAGGGGTTAAAAATGGGGGTAAAGTGCCGCACGTAATTTACGGATGGTACCAAATCCATTGAAAGGGGTCTCTTACGGTAAATCTACAAAAATTACAACTCAGCACTTAAAAGAGAGCGCTAGCTCGGCTCCTCCTGCTGATTGTGTTTCATTAAATCAGCGAAGCACTTCTGCCGTGATAGCGAAGAGAGCCGTAAGTGCAAAAATGAAGTTTTGAGAAAACGGGCTCAGAAGCTTCTGACAAGATCATTTTATTGAAAGAAGCCTCCGTTCTTTGTCGAATTGCCACTAATCGTCCTAGAAACTGACTCCTAGAAATTGTATGGATGATTCAAAATCGACTGATTTTATTTCCATTACATAAAAAGGGTATTTTTCATTTTCATGCCAGGTTATTGTCAGGCAAGACAGCCGTAAGTGCTATCTTCTGCATGCTTTCGTGGTTGCGTTTTGGACGCACAACAAACACATTTGCAGGTTAGAAATTGGCAGAAGAGGGCGGCACTTTACTTGAAAGCACTGTTTTCATTGGCTCTCATGCATCTATGGCTGTCTTGAAAAATAACTGTGTCATTTTTTGTGCACTTACGGCTTTTACATACGTCTGGTTTTCATTAAATTAGGATGAATTTTGCTGTTTTAGCTGTGTCAGTAATTTCATCCAAAAGAGTTTAGACGAATTTTGAAGAAAATTCGATTTCGAAAATTTTGCACTTACGGCTCTCTTCGCTATCACGGCAGACTTGAAGTGCCTGAAGTTAGATATTGATTTCATTTTTATGCGGAAATTACGGAGTGAAATTCGCAAACGGTTAGCCTTGGTTTCTAAATCGAACAATGATTCATTAAACCTTGTTTTTTTATTATTATTATTTACTATTCTGCAAGTAGCAGGCGAGAAGATTACTTGGTGATTCGCTGTGTATTTTTGGAGGGAAATTTCCGGACAAGCCCGCTTTTAAAAACTCCTAAGACTCGAAGGAATTTTAAAAGCACTGAAATGGCGGGAAAATGATAGAAGTGATGCACTGCGGCAATTAAATCGCCATCCCTCAATTTCCACTGATGTGCTTTAAAATAAAACTTATTTCGATGTGGAATTGTTGCTTATTTCCTACAAGTAACATGTAAGAAGGAAATTTGATTCTTTGATTTCGGAGATAAAGTTTTGACTTTACAATGGACCACTAGACAAGGTACGAATTTCAGCATTCTGATACATGTTCCTTAACCAAAATTTCACGCAAAACACGATGCGCACAACGAAAATTACCGAAATCAACTCCTAACGAAGATATTTAATGATTCTTGGTGCGTGAATTCAAACCGTTCGCTCATGAAAACTCAATGCTCTACGTGATTCACATCGCGCGCTAAACGTTATCATGACACTCTCTGCGATATGAAACTATGGCAACCTCAATCTTGACGCTTTGGCTCAGCTGTAGCAAATTGCCTATAGTTTGAACAACACAAGGTAGGAAATGAACATTGTTGGATTGAGGAGCTTGCTGAAACCGTTGTAGTGCGCGATTTGACTCACGTAGAGCTTTGAGGTTCTTGTGAGCTGGCAGTTCAGATTCCTTGTAACCAATGTGAAATAAAAACGTTAATGTCATACTTAGGAGTCGGTTTGAGTAATTTTCGTTGCGCGAATCTTGTTCTACGTGAAATTTTGGTCTAGTAATATGTATCAGAATGCTTACATTCGTACCTTGTCTAGTGGTCCATTGTTTTCATATACAAGAAGTGGAAAGACATTTGACGGAAGTCGCAGAAACCCGTGTTCGCCTCTGATTAGTGTCGGATGACTTCATTTGGTTCGGCGCGGAACCGAGGCGTCTTAATTTTGCGGGGAAATTGAGCTCACCGAACTGCGAACTTCTCGGTTTCCGAGTTACATTTCACATTTTTAATGTGCACATCGTGCTCTGCGCGTCAATGGAGATGTTGCATGTGTGAGGAATTCGCGATTTGGCAATTGATTCTTGTGTAAAAGTTCGCGAGAAACACGATGATGCCACTGGTTTTCTCTGAAATCAACTCCGAAGCTCAAAATAAGCTCTCAAGTTGAGGCCAAAATGGCCGGGGATATCCCACGCTATCCTGAGAGTCCACCTCTACATCAAGACAAACTCTCCATTCAAAGATAGGGAGCAAATACATTTGCAGGGCTGCCGTGTTTTCAGTTTTAGAGTCTCCAAATAAAGTGGCAGCCCTGTCAATGTAATTGCTCCCTATCTTTGCATGGAGGGTTTGTCTTGATGTAGAGGTGGACTCTCAGGATAGCGTGGGATATCCCCGGCCATTTTGACCTCAACTAGAGAGCTTTTTTTGAGCTTGGGAGAAGATTTCAGAGAAAACCAGTGGCATCATCGTGTTTCTCGCGAACTTTTATATAAGAACCAACAGACAAATCGCAAATTCCTCACACATGCAACATTCCATTGCCCTCGGAAAAATGAATTCGCAAATCAAACTTTGCTCACAGTTCAACGACTCATTAGGGGCCGTCTCTAAAGTACGTATCGCTTTTGTTATTTTTCGACGTACCCCATAAACGCTCCGTAACGCTGTGCTAGACCTCCCCGAAAAAACACTTTTAAATGCATAACACTTGCCCGGACAGCGGACACCCCCCCCCCCTCATTTAGATGAAATTAATCTTAATATCGCCTTGCATTTGTTGAACGGATTCGGCGTTTCCATTCAGTGAGGAAATGCGATAGGACCCATCGCAGAGAATCTTTCAGAGATTCTTTAAAACTTCTAGTGACGGCCGACGATAATTTTTACAGAAACCCGGAAAAATCACCTAAACTCGTTATGTATCGCTTCTTTCTATACCCTCACCCCTTGTTTTAGTCGCGTAACTCCGGCAAAGCCCCCCCCCCCCTTCGAGCGTTACGTAATGTTGGGACGGGCCCTGAGTCCTAGTTTTGCGGCGCTCGTATCGACTAGAGTCCACTTATACTGAGAGTCAAGACAACATCCCCTCATGGAGTCACAAACGGGAATAAAGATTACAAAAATTGAACGTTTTTCGTAATCTTTGATCGGCCCATTCTCAAATTCCTTTCTCCGTCCCTTCTCTCATTCCGTTTCTTCTTTGCCGAACCCGTGATTCCCTGGTCCATTCCAGACTATAATCTTTGCAATCGGTGAAAAAGTAATATTTATTCCCGTTTGTGACACTGTGAAGGCCTAAAATACGGGAACCAATCAGAAATGGATTCACATTGTCTTGACTCTCAGTATGAAGGAACTCTAGTATCAACCACACTTCTTCAACTTATCATGTCTGCTGTTATTCTGGGAGACTCACATCATACGTTGTCGCTCACCTCCCGTTATTTTATTTTGTCCAGGGCTGTGAATGGATGAAATCCGACTTTCTTCTCGTACCTCTGATACATCACTCAATTCCTGGCCGGTTTGAATTTCTCTCATTTCATGCAGTCTCTGGGATGATTTCGCGCAGTAAGACTCCAAAGGTTTGTGATACAGTTCTTGTAAAGCAAGAACTCAGTACTTCAGATACTTCGAAAGATGCATCTGACGATGAATCTAGTAATCTTACATCCGAATTGATTAAAGAAGAACCCGTATCCCCTTCGAGAGACAATTGTGCCTCTCCAGTTCAACCTTCAACTAATTTTGTCGGCACCTCCGTGGGTATGATCACCAAAATTAAAACCGAAACCCACAATGACGATGATGATGATGATGACATGTTGCCTCCCAGCGTGGAAATTAAAATCGAGCCCGATCTATCGTTTAGTAATGACCGTCTTGAAGTTGAGGCTTGGGGACAGACTGTGGAAGATACTACAATGTATGCAACGAATTTGTCCACAATTTCTGTACCCGAAATCGTAGGAAATCCTGATAACCCGACTCATAGAATTACACGCACATCAGGAAAAGAAATAAAAGACAGCGCAGATTCACTAACCTCTGAAGTGGATTTTGGAAATGAATCTGAGATACTCGAAATGGTCGAGGATGATAATGAGGATAACGTAGCAGTCCATAGTGGTATTAAAGAAGAATACAGCTGTGGGCAGTACTCAGAATCATTGGTCCATGAAAACAATCAAGATGTAGCCATGTTTTTGCACGACGCCGATAAATTCTTTAGGTGCAGCAAATGCGCCTATGTATTTACCCAAGAGGAAGCCTTAGAGACCCATATGATGAAGCATACTGGAGAGAAGCGAGTGAAACCTATTGATTATCCCTCCGATTTGGTCAAAAAAGAATTTGTAACACGTCATGTGCGTTCACGCACGGAAGGGGTACCGTTCAAATGTAGCTATTGCTTTTTGACATTCGCAACAAAAGTAGCATTATCGGCTCACGAACGTGTACATGGGGCACCGTTCAAATGCAGCCTTTGCATTTTGGCATTCGCAACAAAAGCAGCATTATCGGCTCATGAACGTGTACATACGAGAAAACCTATTGATTATCCCTCCGATTTGGTCAAAGAAGAATTTGTAACACGTCATGTGCGTTTACACATGGAAGGGGTACCGTTCAAATGTAGCTATTGCTTTTCGACATTCGCAACAAAAGCAGCATTATCGGCTCATGAACGTGTACACACGAGAGAGAAACCGTTCAAATGCAGCCATTGCTCCATCGCATTTACCCAAAAACGAGCCTTATTACGTCACTATTTCCGTCATACCGGCACCAAACCATTCAAATGCGACCAATGTCCTGCTGAATTCGCCGGGAAGGCCGGCTTAACCCGTCATATTGTTACCCACTCGGGTGAGAAACCTTTCCATTGCAGTCAGTGCCCCGCCGCATTCGACTTCAGCTTCAAACTAAAAAGACATCATCTGGTGCATTCTCGCGACAAACTCTACACCTGCGCCCACTGCTCCGTCACGTTTGCCTCGAAATCCACGCTCAAGCAGCACATCTTAGCAGTGCATTTTTCTAAACGATACAATTGTACATTTTGCCCCCGATCATTTTCCAAAGAAAGCTACTTACAGACGCATACTCTCATACACACAATTGGCAAACCGTTTAAGTGCCGTCATTGCCCTGCTGCATTCCCTCTAAATCAAAGCTTGACACGTCACATGTTAACACATTCCGGCGAGAGACCGTACAAATGCAGTCAGTGCCCCGCCACATTTATCACCCAACACAATTTAAAAGCTCATATTCGCACGCACTCCCCAGAAAAACCGTTTAGTTGTACTCTCTGCTTGGCCTCCTTTGCTCATAAATCAGCCTTGGAGCGGCATATGATGGTCCATAGTGGTTGTGAGAAACCGTTCATTTGTAGCTACTGTTCTGCCACATTTTTTGTTGAAAGCCATTTAAATAGTCATATTCTTACACATACTAGTGATAAACCGTTTAGTTGTTACCAGTGCGAAGCGTCATTTGCCGATGAAAGCGCTTTGAATCAACATATTTTAGTCCACCTAGGTGATAAGCAATATAAGTGTAAGCAATGCTCTGCTTCATTTGCGGAATCAAGTAATTTGGAGCGCCACGTACGGGCTCACACTAGTAGTAAGGAAATGTTTACTTGTACACATTGCTCTGCCTCGTTTGCGGTTGAGAGAACTTTAAAAAGACATATTTTGGTGCATACAGGTGAGAAACCGTTTAAGTGCAATCATTGCCCTGCCTCATTTACCGAAGAAATAAATTTAATACGTCATATTTGCAAAGAGAAAGGTTAGAAATTTTTTAGCTGCGGTTACAGAGGTTCTGCTGTATCGCTAGATGAGAAATAAATGGAGTATTCGGGTACCCTTAGCCAGTGGCGATGTTTGAGAGTCGGCAACACTGTTTTTCCTCCATTTAAATATACGTAAAACAATCGATTCTTGGTGAGGCAGCTTGCCTTACCTAAAACCGATATTTTTAATTGATTTAAATGGAGGAAACACAGTGTTGCCAACTTGCTAAATCGCAACTGCCTTGCTCTGGGTAGATGTAGATAACGGATGAAGCCGGTAACAAACAGGGGTGTAGAATTTTTGCAACCGATCGGTTGTTCATGATCCAAACCAACTCCCCCCCCCCTAAGATTTAAAAAGAGCCGAAAATCACGGGGGAAAAATGGTTTGCTGAGACAGCAACGGCCGATTTAAAATCCGATACGGCCGAGAACCGATTGGAAGCGTTTTCCCGGAATCTGAAAAGATGTGAGCTTGCGGGCGCACATCTTTTCAGCTTCCGAAAACTCCTGCCAAAATTCTTCGTTTATAGGTTCACTGTCCTCATCCAAGAAATACTCTAGCAAGATTTGTGCAGCTTCCCCTGCCCTTTATCGATTAATGACGATGATCAGACAAATCAGAATTTTGCAGAGAGCGTCATAATGCTCCACGCTTTTTGTCTGCTCACTTTAGTGATGAAGTTCTTGGTCACATAGAAATGAAAAGAGTGATTTAACATCATCGCTGTCAGCCATTGGAGGCGCTTTTTTCATTTCTTTCTTTTTACGTGATTTTTCTGAGTTTGAGGATATCTCTGATGCCCATCTTTTTTCAAAGAGAGATATTTTCTCTAAGTAAGCGTTAGCTGCGACAGACTCGGGGACCATGCTCCTATGCGTTATAGGGTTGGTGGCATAATTCAGGATGTGAGAGCTGACCAACTTACAATTATCTTTAAATGTTGGTTGGAGATGGGTTAAGAGTCCCGAGGTAGCGTGGAGTGAGTTAAAGTCATCTTTGTGCTGCGAATAAGTACTGCAAATTAACGCTGTGGTAGCTGCTACTTGATTCTGGCCAATAGGTATAGCTCGGAGGAGTGCTTGGATGTCAGCCCTAGTGGAGTCGCTGGGTGAGGTGACACCCCTGAGGAACCTGGGTTTGGGAGAAGTAAATCTGGCCAACAATGCCCCAAACCTCGTAGTCATATGCCTTTTGTCAGTAGCGCTGGTGCACGGGAACAGCCTAGTTGTTTGCTTAGCATCAATCCTCTTAAGCCCGTCGGATGGGAGTGTTCCCAATTGCAGGTAGGCGTAGGAGGAAACCGTGACTTGCATAACTTTAAATGCAGCAGCCCCAGGAGGCATTAAATATGGAGGTTTCTTTGGACTTGGTTCATGTAACTTGAAAGTTGGAGTCATTTATGTCCTTAATTGAGGCTTGTTTGTACTTGGGGCTGGGGATCGGATGTTCACCCAGACGTAAAGATTTCCGCAAGGCAATTTAGCCAGCCTAGCCATGACTTATTCAAAGGCACGCTGAAAAGTGAGAGGGGACCGCCCGCAGCATCAGTGTCCACCTGGGGCAAGGGGAAGAGGGCCAGACAACCTTTGACTGCGCTAGGTAAGGCGGGGTGATTGCCCACATGGGCTTGCACCGTGGCAATAGCTGGGATAACAGGCAGAGGAGTGAGGTTATGGCCTATGATCAAGCTTCGGGGATGGAGTTCTTGCCCCAGGGCCTCGATTATGAGGTCGAGGAACCTAACCATTGCTGGGGCGCCTATGGTATGGTAAGAGGCTGTGGTCCGAATATGAGTGTCGGTTTTCCCTGTAGCCAAAGCCCAAGCTGCAAGTAAGTTTAGGAAGGATATCACAGCATTAGGATGGGTGTGGTTACCAATCACGAATTCTGAAGCCTTTGTGAGTATTGGTAGTTCCTTGCCCCCAGCTATTTCGAGGTATGCAGCCATAAGGGTTAGGTGGTCGGATATGCCAGGTCGTTCAGCTTCGAGAGCTGCCCTTACGCCTTCTTCGGAGGCGGTGGCGTTTATGGTGATATTACTCCTTTTATGCTGAGGGCAGCTATAAGCTTTAAATGAGTCTATTACAGTATGAGGGAGCAACCCTCGTGCTGCTTGATCACTAAGGAATTTTAGATGCTCAAGGTCCAACGTTGTTTAGGATCTGATCTAGAGCTAGGGTAAAGTGGGACGCAACACAGCTCTAGACTGTTGTTATCTCCAGATGTTGGCCTCAAAGAGACGATGAGCGCTGGTGTGGATGGTCAGAAGCAGAATCGGGCGTTCTGCTCCAGTATGTATTGGGTGGCTTTTGGAAGGATGCCCGTCAGCCCAGGTCTATGATAGGTTTCCCAATCCCTTAGAGCGGTGGCGACGGGTACTCCTAGGTCTGTCCTAGGGTGGAAAGGGGTGATTAACCACAAACAAGGCGACCCTAAAGGTCTACCTAGGCGTTTCCCGGCGACGTAATGGCATCGACCAAACCATCCAGCCCTTCGATTTCGTCGGGTAGGGCATCCACGCCTTCTAGGTGGAACTCGGGGTCCCTAGCCAACAGGAAACCCTCTTTAGGTAATGGGTAGTTGTCATGCCACAATGTTATTGTGGCCGCTTGTCGAGGGGATAGGTTGTCCCCCACCTGGCATGGAGCTCGGACCTCATTAGCCCCAAAGTCGTATGTCCAGACTGTAGCAGGCTCGAAGACATGTAAATTGGCATTGTAGCCATGAGAAGCATACGCACCAGCATTCCTTTCAAAGGTGGTACTGCCACCTTTGCCAACACAAGCGGCCCTTGAGTATCGAGGGTTGTGGTCCGCTAAGTCAAAGAAGTTTGCTATGACATTTAGCATCTGAACGCCATACGGTATAAAAAAGTATGGCCGCCCACCCTCGCTATTAGAGGAGTAGCCAAGTAGGAATACATCCCACGCATGGCGGCAGAGGTGACTTTCAACAAGTCACTCTTGAATGAGACCTTGGTATTAGGCCCCAATATGGCCCATTCTTGTGGCCTCAACAGCAGGAATCCATCTATTGACAGTAAACTACTGTAGCGGGGGGGCGACATCATTTACAATACCGAATGCAGCATAATAGTCTGCTGCGTCAGCATAGGTGCAGGAAAGGGGTTGGGTTCTGACGCCGGGATAGAGGTTAAATTCTGGAGCCCACCCTCTGTAGTGGAGCATTTCCCGCTTTGGCATAGAATACCAACGGGGTTTAGCCCCTCCAGTCTGAGGTTCACAAGCCTGGCGTACCAAGACGTTGGCAGCGGCCCTAGGTATGCCGCCATTAAGGAAGGTGACAATCTTGGTGGTGGTCAGCGACATTGAAAACAGATAAGTAGTGCCGAACTTTGGAAACTTCGTAAAATATAGACTTAAAGACGCGGACAACGCGTAAAGTTCCGGGGTTCTCCGTGGGATCTTGCAGGTCAGGGTTTTAGGTCAGGCGCGCGCGGTTTTTTTGGCGCCTTTTTCTCACATTTTGTTGTTATCATGTAACAGCAGAAGAGACATCTATTAGCAAAATTAAGAGAGTTGAGCGGGCTTTTTGAAGGCTCACTTGGGCGACATCATTTACAATACCGAATGCAGCATAATAGTCTGCTGCGTCAGCATAGGTTCAGGAGAAGGGTTGGGCTCTGACGCCGGGATAGAGGTTAAATTCTGGAGCCCGCCCTGTGTAGTGGAGCATTGCCCGCTTTGGCATAGAATACCAACGGGGTTCAGCCCCTCCAGTCTGAGGTTCACAAGCCTGGCGTACCAAGACGTCGGCAGCGGCCCGAGGTATGCCGCCATTAAGGAAGGTGACAATCTTGGTGGTGGTCAGCGACATTGAAAACAGATAAGTAGTGCTGAACTTCATAATTAGGGAGACATAGGTACAAGCTAACTGTACCCAGGTCAACCCGGAAGAGGCCACAAAACACTCGACCTCTTTACGCCTGTGGGCGTCGTCCTCTAGCGGAAGCTTCCCCATTGCCCGGTAGAATGGGTGTAAGTCCGAAGGGGTTGGGACACTGATAGGCTCAAGATTCATAAACTGGCCCATCCGGTAGTGTCTGGCAGCGTTGTCTTGGCCGCGTGTAGCGTACCTGACGCCAATAACTTCTAGAGCATAGTAAACTCTCACTCTTTCGTTTTTGTCTTCGCTCTACCCAAAATTCTTCTTCTTAATTACCCTGTCCATCCCCAGCTGATTATACAGAGCACCCACCTCTTGATCAGTACCCCTCCCATTCAGTGTACAGTTATCTAGCCTCGTAATTTTAAAATCATCTGAGGTTAGATAGTTTAAGTTTATATATTCCCCCTTATTCCTAACCAAATGTTTCGGTATCTCCCTATTCACCCTATCTATCTCTTTGTTCAAGCAAATGTTCACCCACAAGTCATAACGATGCGTTATGCCGATATAATAAAATAACACCCCCCATTTTTTCGGCTTCTTGTGCCCAATCTATGATTCCCTCAATCACTCTCTGCCCCTCATTCGCAAATACATCCCCCCTTCCTGCAGCAAATACGATAACATCCCCTATTTCAAGTTCCTTTTTAATGTTGTGCCAAAACCTTGCCCACTTGTCCATTTTATCATTCCCTTTCGTTTCACTTACTATTCTAACACCATCCCTTAACAACTCATTATGCAATCTCTCCCCCACTTTCATCGTATATTCATCGTATGGTCAGCGACATTGAAAACAGATAAGTAGTGCTGAACTTCATAATTAGGGCGACATAGAGGTATGCCACCATTAAGGAAGGTGACAATCTTGGTGGTGGTCAGCGACATTGAAAACAGATAAGAAGTGCTGAACTTCATAATTAGGGAGACATAGGTACAAGCTAGTTGTACCCTGGTCAACCCGGAAAAGGCCACAAAACACTCGACCTCTTTATTCGATAAATACCGTGATATGTGAATGGTTTTCCATAAGTTATAAGCACCATCTTGCACTGAGTGGTTGACTTTAATTTTAAACCACATAGGTGCGTAAACTTTTTGGATGAAAGTAACTAATTGCACAAGTTCATCACTAGGATATTCCATCGTCACGTACAACCTTAAAATTCTACATGCAGCCGTTAGCCAGCGTGTATGACAAACTTTTCCCGGGGTTTTTTTCGCGGGATCTTCTGAACAAAATCCCTCTGAAACAGCAATTGACATTTCCAGCAGGTACTTTTGGTCGGCACTGAGCAGTTTGACGTCAACAGTTTGGTGGGTCAAAGTTGTCTCAAAGGGTTCAAAATAAATTACCTCAAACTTATGGCACTCTTCGGGGTTGGTTCCAATAGGTCCAGAAAATGCGTAGGGACTTGTTGTTTTGCCATCTAAATGTTCGATGAGGTGGCGCAAAGATAACTCATTGTTATGGAGTTGACAAATTGCCCATTGCAACGGGCGATTAAGCTCTTTTTTCAACGATCTTATGATTCCTCCTGTCGGGCCGGTATTAACATTGGTGCCGTCAGAGCCAACAATCTTTAACATCATGAGATCTATCTTCTTCAATGCTATAAAGTTCATGATAGCAATTTTAATGGAAATTGCGGTGCCACTTTTAGGGGTAACAAAACCCAAATACCTCGAATCAGGTTCCTCAACTAAAACCAAGTGTTCCACCAAACTTTTGGTCTGATACAATTTACCACCTTGAACTTTCAAGTTGACTGATTCATCTTTCCTGCCATCAAAATACAATCCTTCAATGCTGCGCATCGATTCTTCTTCTTTTTTCTTTACTTGTGCCAGGATTTTCTTCTTTTGCCGTTTGAGGTAATGACGATCCACGGTTTTTGAGCGGTCATGTTTCGTTATCTGATTAGTATCCGCCATGGTTGCGTTTACTATCACTGCTGCTTGTCTGATGGGCATGCCTGTTCTCGCGATCGCCTCAATCATGTTCGGTAGTTGCATCCGATTACGTTCAGAGGAGCCACCACTTGTACCAGGTTTGTTCGGATCAAAGTTCAGAAACTTTTTGGCGGAACCATTGAAATCAGAATCTGTGGAGTATCCATTTCCATTTCCTCCATTTCGCTGCAGCTAGACTTCGTGGGGCACGGACGGCCCTCAGAATCGCTCGGGTGCGATCACTCATGGCATGGCACGCTAGTATCGCTACGGTGACACGTTAAAATATAACATACAAAAAGGCACCAGCCACACTCCACATCAACTATACGATAAAATTAGCAGGTTTAAAAAGGATTTTAAAAGCTTCGGAAAATATAGACTAAGAGACGCGGACAACGCGTAAAGTTCCGGGGTTCTCCGTGGGATCTTGCATGTCAGGGTTTTAGATCAGGCGCGCGAATTAGATGTATCGATTCTATCGATACTATCGAATGTTTTGAAAAATAAGATAAATAACTTGAAAGCGGAATTTATCTGCTGCAATACTATATTTGGTGCTCGGTGGCACAAACTAACACACAATGAATAAGGTACAAGTATAATAACACTGAGGCTGTACCGCTACGGAACGAGAGGGACAGGGCTACGAATCACTACAGGGTCGAGCAAAGACTGAGCAAGGCGTCAGGAGGGGAATGGGTATTTGTAGAAGTGCCTACGTGACCAATCTCACGATGGCAAGGGCTACGTGAGATTCGGAACGTAGCGATGGGCGACGGATTTGGGGAATCGAGGCTGGGCGCATCCGAATTACTGATAATGAGGTGGAGGAGCGAGGTCAATGTGATAAAATGTAAGGTTGGAAAAATAAGAATGCAAATGACCGCGGCCGGTTGGCGACGCGAGTCAAGAGTCAAGAGTTGGTAGGCAACGGGGAGGCGGTGAGGAGAGGATCGATAACATCTCCCCCCCTAAGATTGAGGAACCGAGTGGAAACCTACATGAGGAAGCGGATGTAGGGAAGCGAGGTTGGGAGGAAGTAAGTTCAATTCTTGATCTTGGGTGGTTTCAGGGTTTTCCGTAGCAGTAGCAGAATTATGACTAAAGGTTAGTAGAGCACGCCATCTTCGTGAAGCGAAGTAGCATTTTGTGACGAAATATATTACAACAATCAAAATGAGCAGGAGGATACAACTGTACGCCCAAAAGTGTGACTTATGGCTTTCCAGGAAATCAATTTCCAGTTCAGGTGGAGGAATGTCGTTCAGTTCCGGGTCTTCTGACAGCTGTGTGAAGTGGAAGGATGTCTTGAGGTTCGGTGGCGACTCGAGTAACAGCATCGGGTTCTGGAAGAAGAGTGGTTTTGTTTCCGATGTTAGCGTCTTTGGGATGGTTTTGTTCCGAAAGGTGAGGCTGCATTGTCCAGGGTTCAATAGGTAAATCCCAGAAAGGTCGTGTTCTTCTGCGTGGTGAGGGCAGTTTAGGGTGATGTGTTCTTGAGTCAAGAATATTCCCAGTAGCTTGTTTGATTCGGGAATATTCTCGAGGTGATTGACAGAGATGTCCACTTTGGCATGTTCGCAGTGTTCGGAAGACAGCGTCTCGAGAATTCCCGTTTCACATGTGGCAGCAACACTGGAGTCTTGGTTGGAACATTGCAGGTGTGTTAGGCGTTGGCATGGTCCTTTTAGTGGGATGATTTCATTGTTGTCGATGTTCTTTAGAATGTACCTGTGAGGGACTCGCACAGTGATGTATTCTGACAGGTGAAGGGTAGGGATAGGTAACATGTAATAAAGGGTGAAATCGGCTTTATAATTTATGGGGACAGAAAGGAAGAAAACAATATCGGATGGGGTAATTTTACAGTGAACGTCTATCAGTTCTTCAAAGAATGGTAAGTTTTCTGGTGTTGTTGCAAGGGGTAGTTCCTCTTTGTAGAATCGCTCTATTCTTTTAAGTTCGAAGAGGAGTTCGGATGGCTTAATTACTTGGGTGGAATGTGTTGACGTGGCAGAAGAGAAGTGCGTTTTCTAGATCCTCGACGATAGTCAGGAAATTAATGAAGGTAATGCTTAATTGATTGAAAGCATCTCGTAGGAGTAATTTGTGTTCCGTTGATGAGACGGAGTCACGTAGTACTCTGTCGATCTCAACTAGGCGCGAGGCGAATTCCTGTTCATTATGGCGGATTGTCTGGAGGTTTGAATTATATTTGTCGATAATTTTGGTGTTTATGCTGTATTCTTGTTTTACTTGATTTTCAAGTATTGTTTCTCCCTTCTTCAGTTGGTCTAGAATTGTTTCGTACCTTTGGCCGTCAGAGTCGTCTAGATTTCCTGTGACGAGTTTTATACCGGATCCTAGGACATTAAGGAGACCGCGTCGGGAGCGTGTCCTTGTTTTGTTTTTGTGGGTGTGTATGGCTGCTGTGGATGGCTTTGTGAAAGCAAGTTTTTCTTTGATGGTGGCAATAGTGAAGTTGATATTTTTTAGTTGGGGTTCTACTGTTGGCATTGCAGCATGGTCTATAGAGACATTTGAGAGGAAGGCGATGTATTGACTATTCAAGATGGAGAATTCGTGCGAGAGAATCTCTGTGCTGTAGTAGTGGACGAGAGTGTGCGTAGTTCGTTGTAGTTTTGCGTCTCCGAGTTCGAGTGGCATGATTCCTGGGTTGTTCGTGATGTTTTTGATCGCATCGGTGTTTATGTCGGTGGCGATGGATCATTTGAAGGTGTACAGACATCTGCAACAAGAGGTGCAGAATTTATTAGTTTGGGGCGTCGTAATTGGTTTATGTGTATTTTTTCTCCTGATTTTTTATTTCCTGCGGCCATAGTGGCTGTTTTTCGGGCAGGGTTTACATTAGAAATTTTGGCTGGTACAAAGTTGGGTTTGTTCTTTGTTCTGCCTCTGTCATTACGGAAGAAGGCAGTGGATGGTATGTCAGGGATAGGTTTGGTGCGAGATGAATTTACCTTTTGAATTACGTTTTGTTTCTTTTTATCAAGATTGTTATGAATTAAATCATAGAGAAGTCTGCACCGTTCTTTATGTTGTGTAGTATACACTTGTGCTGTGGGGATATCTGAAGTTTCTTCAATGGGGGTTGTTTCAGTATGTCCGGTGATTACCTCAAAAGGTGTTTTGCCAGTGGCACTATGAATCGAGTTGTTGTAAGCAATAAGTGCATATTTCATAATTAAAAGAGGCGGTTCTGATTTGAATTCGGGGCGTTGGCGGAACAGTTTGAAGTGTTCCACTAGTGTGGAATGGAATCTTTCGGCGATTCCATTTGATTCTGGGTGGTTCGAGCTGATCCAGTGGGGCGTCACATTATAGAGTTTACAGAGCTCTGTCATGACATGTGATCGAAATTCTGGACCTTTGTCCATGATAAGGAGTTTTGATGGCATCCCATGGTGAGAGGCGAAGGTCAAGAGATTATTTGCGATTTCTATTGTTTGTTTTGACTGAATATTATAACATTGGGCGTATTTAGAGAAACAATCGATAATAGTCAGGAAGTAAAGTTTTTCGATTGTGAAGACATCCATGTGTACTGTCTCGAAAGGTTTACAGGGTGTTGGTGTTTTGTTTAGAGGAGCTTTTATCGGATTTCGGTCGTATTTGGCGATATTGCAAATTTCGCAGGTATTGATAAATTCTTTGACTCTGACTCGTAAATTAGGCCAATAGTATCTTCGCAGTAGGTGAGACTCCGTTTCATTTATTCCTCTGTGATTTGTCTTTCCGATGTGATAATTCTTGATAATCTGAAGGGCTTCTTCTTCGGATTCTACGTCCGTGAGCATAGAGGTGCACTTGATGATTTTGATTCCGGACGCGAAGAGACGTTGGATAGTAGTGACGAGTGCTGTGTAGATACTGTCTTCCATGAAAAAGGCGTAATAGGTTGTTCCAGGACTTAGTTGTTCCTGAATAAATTCAATAAGTGTATCAGGTGTAAAATTCCGTGGTAGATGTATTGTGGAGCGACTTTTGGATGAATTAAATAGGTCAGAACGAATTAACAGAGTGTGTGGTAGGTCATGGAGTTTGAAAATTAATTGGTCTTTACCGTAGTTCACTGGTTTTTCTACAATAGGAATTCCTACGGTCGGTTCTTCTTTTGATGAGTGTATGGTTTCTCCTCCGTCATCCTGTTTG